CTTTACTGTAGAAGAAGAAATTCTTCCCTGTGAGGGTGGGCAGGCCCTGGCACAGGGTGTCCAGAGCAGCTGTGGCTGCCCCTGGATCCCTGAAAGTGTCCAAGGCCAGGTTGGAGGGGGCTTGGAGCAGTCTGGGAAGATGGAAGGTGTCCCTGCCCATGGCAGGAGTGGATTGGGATGGTCCCTCCCAACCCAAACCATTCTGGGATTCAGTGAAGCTGTAATGAAATGATGCACAGGTAGAGAAGTACAGTTAATACTTGTTTGCTGAATGTCCTTGACAGTAGGATACTGAAGATTCTCACTGCAATTAACACTTTTAAACGATGTAGAGATGTGGACTACATTTCATTTATTATTGTACTTCTATCATTAGTAACAACAGAAATGGTGTTGATGTTGCTCAGATTTAAGTGAAGGGATCCATCAAAGTGATAGGAGCATAGAACCATGAGTTGGAATGAACCCTCAGGGATCATCAGTGCAGCCCCTGGCCCTGCCCAGACCCCCCAACAAGCCCACCCTGAGCATCCCTGAGAGCGCTGTCCAAACGCTCCTGGAGCTCTGGCAGCCTTGGGGCCGGGCCCATTCCCTGGGGAGCCTGGGCAGTGCCAGCAGCCTCGGGGGGAAGAACCTTGCCCTGAGATCCATCCCAAGCCCTGGCATGAGGGTCCTGGTTAATTTAGTTCTCCACACTGACAGTGAGAGTTTGGGGTCTCCCACCAAATGAGTGTCCTACTGTCTATAAATGTCCTCAGTGTTTCTCTGTGCCATTGACTCCTCTGTCCCATTTTTTTTTGCTAATGTGGAAAACCACAGAATTTATTGTGGCACATAAAACTGCACAGTGACTCAAGCCCTCTCCCATCCTGTTTGCTCAGTTGTTCTTGGTTTGATACGCAGCAGAAAAGGTCATTTACATGTAATTACTTTTTTTTCATTAACAGTAGCAATTTTCTTTACTGTGAAATGAAAGCATTGACTTTCCTGATCAATACCAAATAAGCAAACATTAAAATCCTACAGTTAATCATGTTAAATATAATGAAAGGGAGCTCAGTTTGATATTAAATTATAATTGCAATAGCCAGTCTTGCCTGAAACCTCTGTGGCTCAGGGCAGAAGGTTGATGAAGAAGGCTTCAGCTTGGACACCAAAATCTTGGTTTCATATTTTCAAAGGCATTGGCTACTGTAGCATTAGGTGAGGTTTTTGCAATATCAGCTTAATTTCTGTGTATGCTGTAATGGTGGTGATGAACTTCTAAATAACTTAAAATTCCATTTTCCATAGTGTGTGGGAAGAACTGCAGATTTCTATGTATTTCCTCCTTATAGCTATCTTCATTTCAGTTGGGTTGTTACCATTTTATCTCCTTCTTCTCCTGGCATAGTTTAAAAATGATGGCTTTGAGGGGAAAAAACATAATCAGGGCACTTGAAATCTCAAAAGAATACTTTTGATGAACACAATAAAAAGAAGAGAGACAGGTGGAAGAGCAGAGGGTGAAGGAGGTGGAAAAAATTACAAACAAGAGATACTGCATAGTAATCATATTGCATGCATGAAATAATGCTCATATGATTGCAATTTTTGCCTGTAATAAGTGCTGGGTTTGTCTGATATCTTGCATTTTAAATAGTCCATTGCAGGGAGTTTTGCTGTCCTATAATTCTCCAAAACTGTACAACCCCTGATGGGACAGTGGAGCCAGTTGGGGGTCAGTCTCTTTCCCAGGTAACAAATGACAGGACGAGAGGAAAAAGCCTCAAATTGCAGCAGGGGGGGTCTGGGTTGGATATAGGGGAAAACTTCTTCATGGAAATGGTGGTCAGGCACTGGCACAAGCTGCCCAGGGCAATGGTGGAGTCACCATCCCTGGAAGTCTTCAAACAACATGTGAATGTGGCATCTGGGGACATGGATCAGTGGTGAACATGGAGGTGTTGCTGGGCTGATGGTTGGACTTGATCATCCTGGAGGTCTTTTCCCACCTTACTAATTCTGTGATTCTGTGATTCTGTAATTCCATAATCACTACAGAAATCGCACCGTTGTGTAAGAGTTGAGTTGCCTGTAGCAACAGTTCCTTTCCTTCTGTTATGTTTCCTTCCCTCCCACTCCTTGCTCTAGAAGAAACTCTTTCCACAGCAAAACATATAGCGAGATATATTAAAGAAAAAAAAAAGAAAAAAAGAAGATATAAATCCCACACACACTCTGGTATCATGTGTATCCTTTAAACATTTTATCACTTTAGATTTCTGCCCTCTAGCCTGAAGAGCCTGAAGCTGCCAGGTTTTCTTGTGTGGGTTTGGAGTTTTCCATCATCCTTTGGATGATCCTGGGATCCTGGGCTTCAGGGGCTGCTGTTTGGGAGCAGCAGTGTACAGTGTGGTACAGACATATGGAGACACTTCCTTCTCAGTGGTTTTGAGCAAAATTGACTGAGCTGTAACATGGCTTTGGTGCTGTCATGGTGGTACCTGGAAAAGGAGTGCAATGGAGAGAACCAGAGGTGGATGCTTTGGTTGATGTGATACCACCACAAGAGAATTGCCACAGGCTTCAGCTTCTCTTGTTGAAGACTGTTATGATGAAGGCTGTGTGTTAAAGGCTGGGAGAGCTGGGGGTGTTCAGCTTGGGGAAGGGAAGGTTCTGGTGAGAGCTCAGAGCCCCTTGCAGGGCCTAAAGGGGCTCCAGGAGAGCTGGAGAGGGACTGGGGACAAGGCCTGGAGGGACAGGACACAGGGAATGGCTCCCACTGCCAGAGGGCAGGGCTGGATGGGATATTGGGAAGGAATTGTTGGCTGGGAGGGTGGGCAGGCCCTGGCACAGGGTGCCCAGAGCAGCTGTGGCTGCCCCTGGATCCCTGGCAGTGTCCAAGGCCAGGCTGGACGGGGCTTGGAGCAGCCTGGGATGGTGGAAGGTGTCCCTGGCCATGGCAGGGATTTAGAAAGGGATGCTATTCAATGGCAACACCAACCATTCTGGCATTCAGTGAGTCTATGTTTCTGGGTGGACTTATAAATCTTTGCTATGATAAATCATGCTTTCACTCAGTGACGTTCCCTTTAAATGCTGGAAACTGGATGTCAAAGACATGTTTGCTCTTATGACTTATTGCCATTTTCTGGTTCCCTTTTTGAAGGTTTGAAATGCAGGGCAGACTCCTCAGGCTGGAAGGTACATTTCTGGTGAATCCAATGGTATTGTCCAAGGGAACTGAAAGGGGTTGAGTTGGCAAAAGAGAGCCTGTGGGTTTGGGATTGCTAATGCCCAGATCTTGCTGAGATGACAGGAGCTGGGTTTTTTGTACAAAATGTGTGCTGTTCCTGACAAATATTGTTGCCCATCTTTCCACCTCCAAACTCTGCTCCTTTGGATAACTTTGATTTTGCCAGGAATGGCACTGCTCAGTAATTTGCTCTGTAGGATGTTGAGCCTCACTCTCCCTCTCATCCAAATGCAGGATGCCAGGAGGAAGACTGGTGAGTAGACAAAGCCTCAGCCAGGAATGTGAGACACTTTCCCATACTAATGCCCATTTACACAGTAACTTTGGAGGGGATGCACAGTCCCAATGTTTTGGCTCTGTAGCTTTTGGAGGGACCCAGGCATGTGGGGTTCAGCAGTACCCACCGAGCCGGGCATTGTCTTTGTAGCACCAGAAGGGAGAAGGCAGTGTGAGGTCCTGTGTGTTAAAGGCTCAGGCTCTGGCTGGGTGGCATGTGCCAGGATATAAAGGGAACACCAGCTCAGGCAGAAGCACATGGCTGTGCAGGAGAACAGGGAAAGCCCATTTATTACATCTGGGGGAGTGGTTCCTTGTGTGTGACACCAAGTTCTTCAGCCATGGTCATGTCTGTAACAACAGCCGGATGTGGCAAAACCCAAAAGTACAAAACATTTCTGTTTGTCACAGGGAGCCTTGTGCAGACCCTGGAAGTGCAGCTCAGAGGTGTACAGATGAACTCGTTTTTATTCTCCAGCCTGAACAGACCAGGTTTCTAAGGATCCATCCCTACAAATACAGGGAATAATGCAAGGAGTGCTCCTGGGGAAACCCACCCCAAGAATCCTATGAACAGTCTGGCTTGAATGGCTTAGGGAAGTTGTTTGTGGATCAAAAGATATAACCAGCTAGTTAAACTTAGTTAAACTGAAAGTACCAGCTAGTTTAACTTAGTTTTTTTCTACACTGCCTTTGCCCTTAAATTGCCAATATTTTCTAAAGGCTTAAACATAATTTTATTTTTACTTTTTTTTAAAGTACACCCAAAAAGATCCCAAGACCCCTGAATGAAGTCTGGTGTTTGCCTACAACTGCATTTTCTTCTTTTTCACCATTTTGCTCAGAATATTGGAAATGCTGAACATTAGCGTCTGGTTTTCTGGCTGGGATGAACTGCAGAGGCAGTTATTCCCTCCCAACTCGTTGTGGATGCTGCAGGATACAGATAAACTGCATCTCTTTAACAGTGGTACTCGTTTAAAGGTCTCTCTGCCTTTGCCTGTCCCAACCTGCAATGCCTCTGGATTGTCACCCCCAGAGGAACAGCAAAGAGTGGCCACGATCAACTTGCTCTGAGGCTCACAGAGTCGATGTTGAGACAAAATTATACTTGGGGATCTCTGGTCCCAGCTCTTCCTCTCCTGAGACTCAGCCTCCCCAGAGAACTGTTGCCACCACAGGCACCCATACCATTGTCACTGCTCTGGCCAGGCCAGCAGTGGTGACAGCAACTGTCCCTGTTTGCAGGGGGATACTGATTTCCCCACAGTGCCACAGGGGACAGAATCTGGTAAACTCCAGTTCCTTTCTATCAAGGGTTCATAACTGTGCCCTCAAAGGGCAGAAGTTGATCTAAGTGTTGTCAAATAATGAGTCATTTCTGATGGAGGTTTGAGGGCGCAGGCGGTGCCAGCACAGGGACCTCCCGGATGCTGCATCACAGCCTCACCAGCAGAGAAATCAGGAAATTGGGCCCTGCCTCTGTCTGGGAGCTACCCTTAAATGTAGTGCTTGGCTCTGTGTAAGAAGGAAAGAGACTCTCCAGGAGTTCAGGAATCCAAGTCCAGGCTCAGCTGTGAGCTTCCCCTGACATCGCTGCCCCTGGCTCCACATGGCCACCGCTGAGGTAAGAGCGAGGTCCAAGAGGCGCTGAGGGCAGATGAGGTGTCCTCCTGTCCACTCTGGCAGCAGGCAGGGATGGGTACAGTGCTGAGCATGGTGGGCAGTGGGGGGAATGCCCAGGTGTCACCTGTTTTCCAGCAGAGGAGCTGTATCTTCCCTTTGTCTGACTGACACCCAGTGCAGCTGTGTGTGCTCTGGAGGGGAGTGCACAACGTGTCGGCTCCATCTCATCCAGAGGTGCAGCCTCCACAGGCAGTGTCCCCTCCTGTCACAGTGCTGTCAGGTCTGGCACCTCTCAGCTGGGGTAACTCTGTGCACTGGGAATAAGCTTGAGCTCTCCAGTCCAGGGTTTTGACAGCTTTACCAACCCCCACTATGTTTCTGTTCTTCTCAGCCTCAGTGCAATTACCCAGGTTTACCGATTCATAAAAGTACAGAACAGCCCCAAAACAAAGAAGAGGGCAAATATCTTCTCTCAGGCTTTCTGCCTGCATACTCTGCTTGTGGGAACATTCATTCCAGTGATGGGAATTTCATGGATCAAACACCTCCAGGAACAAAGAGTTGCTTTAGGACAAGGCATGTGAGGGAGGTGATTCACTGCTGTCCCTGCTGGTGCCTGGGTGAGGCACTGGCTGGTGGCCAGGCTCTGCCAGTGGCATGTGGTGGTGTGTGTCCACCACCCCAAGCCCCAGGGCTAACTGGGCAGAGGAGAAGCTCTTCCCTTTGGTACTTGAATGGAGGATCTGTCCCTTCCCAGCACCAATTGCTGTCTGCACACGGGGGCAGAACTGACCAAACAGCTGCTGCTTTTCACCCAAAATTTCTGTCCTGGAGCAGCAGAAAACAAAGGACAGATGTCAGAGCTGCCATCAGCCCTCCTGGCTCAGCCAGCACATCCATCTTTGGATCAGGATGTACCACAGCAGGGGTGTGGAGCAGACCTTGTTCTGAAGCTCTGTGTTCATGGGGTCCTCACCATCCTGGAATTAATCTGAGCTGCACCCAATCACATCAGCCTTTGGCTGTGCCTGCTGGGGAACAGGCACAAGGTGACCTTTCCAGCCCCACCAAGACAATGTGTGCCATGAATGGGCTGCAAGGTGAGGGGATGGCAGTGCTAGCTAACAGTGGCTTCTGGTAGAGACAAAACTGCTGCCTTCTGATAATAACCTTGTAGCAGCTGCAATTGTCCCTGTTTTGTTGTTGTGAAGATGGGCTGGCATAACCAGATAAACCTTGGTTCCACACTGCCACAGAGATGAGTTTACCACCAGTGATGCAGAGTGGTGATTGTGACTCACCTTCCAAAGGAGCAAAGTCATCTCTGCTCCAAGGAGCTCATCCCACAGCATGGGATGGAAGGGGCTGCAGGACGGGGGGGGGGGGATTCTACCCCTCTGCTCTGATTAGACTCCAGCTGCAGAGCTGCCTCCAGCTCTGAGAACCCCAACATCAGGAGGACGTGGAGCTGCTGGAGCCAGTCCAGAGGAGGCCACAGAGCTGCTCCAAGGGCTGGAGCCCCTCTGCTCTGGAGCCAGGCTGGGAGAGCTGGGGGTGCTCACCTGGAGAAGAGAAGGCTCCAGGGAGAGCTCAGAGCCCCTTGCAGGGCCTAAAGGGGCTCCAGGAGAGCTGGAGAGGGACTGGGGACAAGGCCTGGAGGGACAGGACACAGGGAATGGCTCCCACTGCCAGAGGGCAGGGCTGGATGGGATATTGGGAAGGAATTGTTGGCTGGGAGGGTGGGCAGGCCCTGGCACAGGGTGCCCAGAGCAGCTGTGGCTGCCCCTGGATCCCTGGCAGTGCCCAAGGCCAGGCTGGACGGGGCTTGGAGCAGCCTGGGATGGTGGGGGGTGTCCCTGCCCATGGCATGGAGTTGAATGAGATGGGGTTTAAGATCCCTCCCAAACCATACCATTCCCTGATTCTATGATCCTCCTAAGGAGGTGACAGTGGAGATGAAGGACTCCAGTAGGAAAAGACCTGCAATTTTAAATTGCAAAGCTGTCATATGCATCCCAGCATGACCAGTTGGTGTCAAGGGCATCACAGGGACATTGCACAATCATCCCACAGCCAGTGCATGTGACAGTCCCACCTCAGCCCAGCCTTGCCTGTCTCTGTCCCTGCTGCTAGGCAGCCCCTGCATCAGCCCTTCTGCATCCCACATCAGCAGGGCCATGGTGACTAAGAGCTCCTGAAAGAGGAGGTGAAAAAGCAAGTTCCTCGTAAAACCACATTACTCCCACACAGCTGTGGTGCTGGACTCCTGCTGTGCCAGGAAAGCTGGTGGGAGCTGGGGCCGCTCTGATGGCAGAGGCAGAGAGCAGGAGTGCTGGGTCCTTCTCCCATCTATGTGTGGGACAGGAGTGTCCCCAGGACACAGCTGGCACTGGCAGAGTTCTCAGCCTTTTCCTCCATCCTGTGGTGCGAGGCTGTGTGAGGGACAGGAGCTGCACTGGCCAGGGGAGCCTGTGGGACAGCAGCGGTGGTCTGGGACAGCAGCTGTGACCTGGGCCAAGCCAGCTCAGCCCCGACCCTCCACAGTCCCTTTGGTTTCTTCTGCAGGTGGCAGCAGGAGAGGACAGGGAGTCCCTGATGCTCTGACGGTTGCCATGTCTGGGGTGAGCGGGGCTGCACAAGGACACCAGCAGTGCCAGCTGGGGGGACATATCCCCCCAGGACCAGAGTGGGGTGGAGGAGGGCTCATGCCCAGTGCCCCTGGTCCCCAGACAGGGCTTCAGATGGTCCTTGGGGCTGGCTCTGGTGCCTGTGGGAAGCAGAGGGGTCCAGCTCTCTGTCCCTACTGACGTTGCTTTCTCCTTGCAGAAGCACTGGCCCCCCGGGACGCAGTGTGTCACCAAGCATGACCACAGCAAGCCCAAGCCCCGGGAGTTGGCCTTCCGCAAGGGTGACATGGTCACCATCATTGAGGCTGTGGAGGTGAGACCTATGGGTGCTCAGGCACACGCTGTGCTGAGAGGGCATGGCCAGAATGGGACTCCAGTGCCATCAGCTCAGCTGCCAGAGCCAGTCCCTTCCTTCCCAGAGGGATCCCCCCTTCCTTCCCTTGCTCTGACACCCTCTTGTCCCCAGGGCAAAGGCTGGTACCGCGCCAGGCACAACGAGACGGGGCAGGAGGGGCTGCTGGCAGCCAGCGCACTGCGGGAGCGTGGGGCCATCCGCGCCGACCCCAAACTCAGCCTGATGCCGTGAGTACAGCTGGGGTGTCTGAGGGGACCCCAGGGGACTCAGCTGAGCCCCTGGGAGCTGCAACAGCAGATGAGCCCAGTGTATTCCCCCCATGCATGTTTTGGGTGGGCAGCTGGGGACAGAGCATCCTGTAGCCATGCCCTGGCGATGGAGGGATTTGCAGGGGCCAGTATCTGGCTTTAAGGACCCCTAGTTGTGCCCACCCAGCTTGGATGGACCCCATGGAGAGGGGTCTGTGTAGCTTTGGCAGGGGCTCTGCTTTCCCCATCTCACTGCTGCCCCTGTGGGAAGCCCACTGGCTCAGCCCCCTCTCCTCAGATGGTTCCATGGGAAGATCTCAGGGATGGAGGCAGTGCAGGAGTTGCAGCCCCCCGAGGATGGGCTGTTCCTGGTGCGTGAGTCTGTCCGGCACCCTGGTGATTACGTGCTGTGCGTGAGCTTTGGCAAGGAGGTGATCCACTACCGCGTGGTGCACGAGGAGAACACACTCAGCATCGACAGCCAGCAGTACTTCTCCAACCTCATTGACATGATTGAGGTGAGACCCCCTGGGCAGAGAGTCCCACCAGAGCCAGAGAAGGGCAAGGACCTCTTGAGCTCACACAGAGACAGGTCCTTGTCCTGTTCTGTGTGGTTTCCATTGGTTTTCATTACCTGGTATAATTCCCTATCCCCTTCAAAGGCTCGTGGTTCCCACTCAGTTTGGGGTACAATGGGCAGATCTGGGATATCCCAAGGATGTCTCTGCAAACCAGCTGTGCCAGCTGCAGTCCCAGTCCCTGGCCAAGGGCCACATTACCCCTACCCCTGCTTATTCAGTGCTTCACATAGCAGGATGACCCTGGTGGCCTCTGGACTTTGAGGCATTTTGCTGTGTCTCACTCCACCCAAAGGTCCCTCTCACCTGCTGACCCCACAAGGCTCCCAGGCTCCTGTGTGAGCTCTTGCTGCTCCAGTGAGTTTTTCCTAGTTGTCCATCCCTCACCCTGTCTGCTCTCCAGGGAGTTTCACTCTTGTGTTTTCCTTTTAGACACAACTTTTGGGTGGCTCCTTTCCCTTCTCAGCCGCCCCAGCCCCACTTTAAAACTCCAAAGGTTGTCCTGTCCCATCCTGTCCCATCCTGTCCCATCCTGTCTGGCTGTTTCTGCTCCCATCACCTCTGCAAACGGCCCTCAGCTGCTGCAGCAGAACCTGTGGTTCAACTGGTAGAATCCCATATTCCCCTGTGTCCATCGTGATGTTCCTCTGGTTGTGCCCAGAGGGGAACAAGGCTGACACATGGGTTGCCCTCTAGGGTGGCAACAGTGCGGTCTCATGGAGTATCCCAAAGTTGTTCCCTGGACTCACACCCTGAGCCTGAGGGTAAAAGCTGGCATCAGCTCCATCTGTTTATCCCTTGGCAGCATTACATGAAGGAGCAGGGAGCCATCTGCACCAAACTGGTGAAGCCCAAACCAAAATCTGGGATGAAGTCAGCTGAGGAGGAGTTGGCCAAAGGTAGGGCGTAGTGGGAGGGGGCTGGGTCTGCATTTTAGGGACAAGGCCCCACTGGTGGCCCCTGCTAACCTGCCCTTGTGCCCATGCCCAGCTGGCTGGTTGCTGAACCTGAAGCACCTCACACTTGGAGACCGCATTGGGCAAGGCGAGTTTGGAGGTAGGTGAGAGGATGGGGCTGGATGTTCCCCAGGTGCAGCTGATCCCCCTCACCATCTCATAGCATGGGGGGCTCAGCCTGACTCTCCCCTGCTCTTCCAGATGTCCTGCAGGGCGAGTACATGGGGCAGAGGGTGGCTGTGAAGAACATCAAGTGTGATGTGACTGCCCAGGCCTTCCTTGCTGAAACAGCTGCCATGACGTGAGTGCTTCATGGAGGTGTGGCCCAACCCTGCCTCGTGGCCCAGGACGAGCAGGCACCTCCTTGACTCGGATCCCCTCCATTCCAGGAAGGTCCGGCACAAAAACCTTGTGTGCTTACTGGGAGTGATCCTGCACAATGGCCTCTACATTGTCATGGAGTTCATGAGCAAGGTGAGAGCACCTGGCTGCTCCTCAGCCTGTGGGACACATCACCACTTAGATTGGGGACAATATCCCTGTCTAGGGGCTGAGTCATCACAGATGTCAGGCACTGCAGAACCTGCAGAAGACAAAGTCTCCTGGAAGCCTCATCCTGTTGGTCCTGACTCATTTTATCCTGTCAGGGCAACCTGGTGAACTTCCTGCGCACACGGGGCCGGGCGCTCGTCTCGACCCAGCAGCTCCTCTTGTTCGCCCTGTAAGTCCCTCTCTCTCCTTTGGGCTGGGATCCTGGGCTCTGCATCCCCCTGTGCGGCCCCAGGGCACCCACGGTGACACTGTCTCACTCACTTGTGGCAGGGATGTGGCTCAAGGCATGGACTACCTTGAGTCCAAGAAGTTGGTGCACCGGGACCTGGCTGCCCGCAACATCCTCATCTCCGAGGAGAACGTGGCCAAAGTGAGCGACTTCGGCTTGGCCCGGGTCAACCCCAAGGGTGCAGATGCCACATTGCTCCCTGTGAAGTGGACGGCACCAGAGGCCCTGAAACACAACGTGAGTGACAGTGAGAGAGAAGGGGCTGGCCTGAGGGTCCTTCCAAAGCATCTCACCCCCTTGGGTTGCCCCTCCTTTTTCCCTGCCCCATCCCTGCCCCACAGTGACCTCTGGTACAGTCAGCCCTGCATCTCCCAAAATTCTGTCTCTGTCCTGAGCAGGCACGCAATGGGAATTGGGGTAGGATGATGGGACTGGGGGGTGTTCACATCATGGGAGCTGGGGGGGGCAGGGGGCAGTTGATGTCCTCTGTCTTCCCCTCGGGAAGCAATGGGGTCCAACAGTGCAGCTCTCAGCTGGCGTCAGCCTCCCCGTCTCCTGCTGCCACAGAGATTCTCCTCCAAGTCGGATGTGTGGAGCTACGGGATCCTCCTGTGGGAAACCTTTTCCTTTGGACGGGCACCCTACCCCAAGCTGGTGAGCACTGTGCCAGGGAACACCACAGGTTACACCAGTTAAACCCCACTGGCACTGATGGGACAGGGACATCCCACTGCTCCCTGACCAGAGCAGGGAAGGGGGTTGCCAGCTGGCTTCTCCATCCTGGCAGGCCCTGAAGGAGGTGACAGAGCTGCTGGAGCAGGGGTACCGCATGGATCCTCCCGAGGGCTGCCCACCCACCGTCTATACCCTAATGAAGAGCTGCTGGGAGTTGGAGCCAGGCAAGCGCCCGTCCTTCAAGAAACTCACAGAGAAGCTGCAGAAGGAGCTGAAGCACCTGAGGGACATTTAACCCCCATCCTGTTACCAGGACCCAGGACCTGAAGCCCCAAGACCCTCTAGGGTTGGGAGTGGTAGGGCAGTTGGGGCCAGGAACAGAAAGAAAGGCTTGTGGTGCTGCTCTCTCCCTGTGGAGATGGGGCAGCAGCCTCCCTCCATCCCAGCATGGTCCTTCTACCCACCTCACAGCCCAGAGAATGTTTCCATGGGATTGATCTCCCCTGACCCACCAGAGTGGGGAGCCCAGACCCCAAGGGAGCCATGCCCACACCCCCTGTGCTCAGCCCCAGGAGCAGATGCTGCATGTGGGGTCCCTTCAAGCTGCAACTCCCCATGATGAGAGACAGGACTGGATATTTCCATCGGTGGAGGATGAGACCCCATCCTGACTCAGCGCTGCCCCAGCACCCAGCCCCACACAGGGATGCCAGCACAGCCAGCTAAACCCCATGGATTTGGACTTTTTGATTAAACCAAAGAAACTAGCTCAACAGCATCCTGAAGCCTCTGGGGTGAAATTAGGCCGATCTCTCACTTGGGGCCTGACAAAGCCCAGTGAAAGGCTTTGGGGGGACCAGGAGCTCGGAGCCCCCGTGCCATCCAGCGCCTTTCCCATCGGGGCTCTGTGCAGCAGGGGATTATGCTTTAATCAGAGGCTGTATGGGAATTGCTTTAGTATAGATTACAGGCACAGGGCACATCCCCAGCAGTGGGTAGCCCCCGGCCCTGCAGGCTCCCAAGCAATCTTGAGTCTTGGTGGACAAGGGATTAGCGGGGGCATGAGGCTGCTGCGCGGGTGGGTGCGCACCCACCACTGCCTCATCTGCTGCCAGTCCTTTGGCCCTCGATTGTGTTTTCTTGGCTAATCCTCTTGTGTCTCCTCTGTGCTGACGTCCTGCACCACCAATCCCCCTGTAGTTCTGGGTGCCCACGGCATGGGGCTCTCCCCAGGGCTTGCCCTGGCCCCATGGGTGCTGCCCCAAGTTGGGACCCATGTAATGGGGGGTATTTCAGCCTGACCCAGTGTGTGCTGCAGTTCAATGGCTCCTTCCACCCCCCCCATCACTCTGATGTGGCAGCACCTGCTGTCCCCCCACATTGCCACTGTCCCCTGCAAGCACCCTTGGGTGCAGCAAAGGGAAGGTCTTTCCACCCTGGCTGTGGCTTCCCCTCCTAATGCCTTAATCCGCCCCTGATCCGCGGTGCCCCTGGGGCTGGTCCCACTGACCTTGCAGGCACTGGGACCTGGTGGGCACCCTGGGGCAAGATCTGTCGCCACCACCCACCCGCCATGGCCTCCTTCTTCACGGCTGCCCTGAAGAGCTTCCAGAGGGGGAAGGACGAGTCACCCAAGGGGGCCCCCAAGGATGACAAGGCAGCTGCACTGCCCAACGGTGTGGCTCGCGAGGAGTTTGAGGAGTACCAGCGGCAGCTGCTGGAGGAGAAGTAAGGCTTTGCTGGGGCTGGGCGGGTCACTAGGGTCCCCCAACACACCAGAATCAGGATCCCACCTGCTGTGGGCTTTCCCCAGGGTGGCACAGGACAGGGACAGGGAGGCAGCTGGGCCAAGAGACAGTGCACAGAAGGTGCTTCTCAGTGTGTCTTCCCCACTGCATGGGAGGTCCATGGAGGTGCTGGCACAGGGCTGTAACAGCAGCTTCGTGCACCACAGGTGACAAGGAAAACCCTCAGGTGTCAGAATCCCAGGATGGTTCCAGCCCAGCACCCTTGGAGCCAAGGCATGGGGGGTCAGCACAGGGTTGGATTAAGGTCCCACCTCCCCAAGACCAGGTGCTGTGGGAACCCAGTAGCTCAGCACCAGGGAGATGAGAGGCTGCAGGAGGAGCAAGTCCCTGCAATGGGCACCTTCATCAAGCACCTCTGAATCTGGCTGCTGAGCTGGGTGCACAGGATGTGGCTCCTGGTCCCACATCCTCACTTTAACCCTCTTGGGGATCTCAGACCTCCTCCCTACTGCCCTAGACCTGCTCTGCAGGAGGACCAGGGTGATACCAGGGTAGTCCTGGGGGACTCAGTGAGGTGGGGGTGATGGTGTGGCACCTACTGCAGGATCGAGCGGGATAAGGTGTTTGCACAGAGGAAGGCAGAACGGGCCACGGTGCGGATGCACCTGCGGGACAAGTACCACCTGGCCCAGGTAAGAACCAGCCTGTCTGCAGACCTCGGGGATTCCCCTTGACCCTACATTACCCAGAACAGTCCCAAGCCCATGGCTGCCGTGGTCCCCTGGATGGGAGGGATTCCTGAAGAGGGCAGCAGACGGCCACTGTCTCTGACTATCTGCTGCCCGCTGTTCGTCCAGCGTCCGAGTCTGGCACCGGACAGTCCTGGAATGCCCCCGTGTCCCCAGCACCCTAGGACTGGCTGTTCTCTGTCCCCCGTCCCCCAAGGTAGGCACCGTGTCTGTCCCCGCCCGACACCCTCTCCCACCCGCGTTTAGGACGAGCGGGACGACGCCCAGGTGCGCGTGGCCGGAGGTGCGGTGGAGCTGCCACAGGACCTGGCAGCCGTGGTGCACAGCGAGGAGGAGGAGGAGGAGGAGGATGGCAGCGCCGGGGCCTTTGCCTTCCTGGCGAAGCTGCGGGAGGTGGAGCTGCCGGCGCTGCGGGGGCGAGCGCTGGGCGGAGCGGAGCAGGTGAAGGAAAGGTGCGCCCTGATGTAGCTCCGTGCCCGCCCCGGGGGCACCGGCAGCTCCTGCCCCGGGAGCCACGGAGTGCAGAGGCTCTGGGTGTCTTTGCTTGGAGTGCGGGTCCCAATACACATATTAGGTGTGGATTTCTTCCCCAAAACCATTCCCATTAGCTTTCCCAGCGTGTGCAGCCGTTATGGTCAGGTCCCTCGGTGTGCTCCTGGTGTGAGCGCCCGTATGGGGCAGGTCCTTGACTGTTACTCCCCCTCACCAGCCCTGGCACCGGGTTCCATTCGGCTCAATAAATACAGCATTTGCCGGCACTATTCTGGTCGTCCCGCCGTATCCCGCACCCGTACAGTCCTGGTTGGTGAGGGGACACGGTGACTGGAGCCGGGCTGCCCCATGTTCCCTGACCTACCAACCAGCCCAGGATGCTTGGCCACTGGGTCCGTCCCCGCCTTCTGCAGCAGCCCCCACTGGGACCCAGTGATCACCCTGGCTGTCCCTCGGGGACAGCACCGGGAGAAGGTGTGGAGCATTTACTCCTGTGCTCAAGCATCCTCTGCCAGTGCGAGCAGCAGGGGCATCCCTCTGGCCAGGCCAGGGCGCCCGGCCGCCTCTTGCCCCGCCAGGGACTCTGTCCTGGGCGCTCTAGCAGCAGCGCTGGCTTAAATGCCGCCGCGCCGGAAGGCCGGGAGCTGCTGAGATCACTAATACCTGCCTATTTTAGCGAGGTCTAATCTTCCTGAGTCGCCTGTCCCCGAGGACTAAGCTCGCTGAACCCGTGTGAAATGTTCGGCCGGCGCTGGCCCCAGGGGCACCTCCCGCCGGAGCCGGAGCCGCCGGGAATCACTGTGTGATTTCATGCTGTGTGTGCATGAAAGGAAGGACGCGCTGAGCCGCCTCCGTCCTCCCCACGCCGCTGCCATCTGCTCCGGAAAGGCTTCGGGGACGGCTCTGCCGGGCTGCCCACGGCCCCGGCGGCCGGGCTGGGACGGGGCAGCCGGATCCAGGGGGCTGGGAGCTGTGTCACAGTGCTCAGCGCTGTCACCAGAGCCATCGCACTCAGCCGCCGCTGAGGAGCTGGAGCACACGGAGCAAGGAGGTTCCTGGATGCACGAGGTGCCCAATTTCCCCTGGAACACCTCTGGGTACCAGGTCCAGGGGCTGGTGGCTGCTGGAGCATCCCAGAGAGTGTGAGACAGGCTTGTCTGGGCCTGACATTGGGGAGCCTCCTGATGTTTGCTGGCCCCACTGTCTCTGCTGTCCTCATCATCCCTGATGTCTCTGTCTTTATTCCCAATCCCGTTCGCCAGCTTTTCTTCAGAACTGAGGAAATCTCCCTTCAGGCAGAAACCCCACCCGTGGGATGGAACCGTCTGTGCCACGCCAGTCCCTCGCCAGGTCCCTGACAAGGTGGTAGCAGCTGCGGCACCCAGAACAACGCTGATCCCACCCCACATCGCTGCTCTCCTCAGGGTTGGCTTCGCCACCAAGTGCCAGATGCTGGGATGGTGGCACTGAGGTTTGTCACCACTACCTCAGTCCTCCATCCCGGCTCCACATCAGGGCCCCATCCTGGCCTGATGGGCAGCCCTCTCCCAGTGTTCCCAGCATAGGGACTCCCAGCGCCAGCTGGGATTCGGGTCAGGACCCTCCACCAGGTCTCCTTGGCTAATCGTCCTGCCCCCCCGCCCTCCCCATGCTGCCACCTGCCTCCCGCTCAGCACCCTTTTGGGTCACCCCTGCTGCCTCCCCGCCTGCCCAAGGCCTCTTAATGAACTAAAAAAGTGATAAATCCCCGGCCGAGCTGGTCACGTGAGGCCGGTGGCCCCCGGCCGCCCCCCGGCCCGACCCCCGCCTCCGGCCCCACCGCCCCGGTAAGCTGACGCAGCGTCTCTAAGCGTTAGCAGCTTTGCGCGCTAATAGGATTAGGGAGGTTTAAAACTGTCATTTGAGTGAACTAAACCCCCTGATACTCTGCATTGCACCTTCTTAACCAATTTGCCTTCAATTAGGGTAATTGGGAAACTAGCAAAGAAGTATAGCATTAATATTTTAAAGTGATGAAGTGATTACGGGCCTTGGACAAGGAAGCAAATCAATTTGCTATCTGCTCCTAAAAGGCAATTATAATCATTTGGCAAATCAGCCTGCTGCCTCCCCCCGGGCGAGGCAACACCTTGCGGTGGCCGTGGGGCCGGCACGGCACACACAGCGCCGGGGCCGGGCAGCTGGGCAGTCCCCTGCCCCCAAACCCGGCACCCCGGGGACCTCCCTGCCCCCCCGGGCCGGTGGGGCACTCTGGGGGAGCATCAGTGAGGGGCACGCGGCTCCTGCACTCGTCACAGTGGCCAGCACGGGCATCCGGGCAAGTGGGGTCCAGTTTGCGCCCCGGGCCCCACACATCGCCCCTGCCCTGGGGATGTCCCTGGTACCTCCACAGGCAGCCCCTCCCTGCTCTCCCCTGCACTCTCTTGCAGCACTGCATGGCATGGGGGTGTCACCCCACCCCCAGGGGCCACATGGCCCACCTGTGTCATGCCATTCCTGGTGTGTGGTCTTGCCATCCTCAGGGCAGTGCCAGTGTGTCCCTGGGGTGGTGGCACACTGTCCCCAGGGCGGTGGTGTGCCATCCTCAAGACAACTTCACACTGTCCCCAAGGATGTGTGAGACAGGGCAGGTGAAGCCTCATAACCTGGGTAGTGACAACGGGATGGCCTTGGGGTCCACACCAGGGCACAGAGCGGGCTGTGGGGTCTCACCAACAGCAGCTCTTGTGCGGAGGGCACAGACCCTCTCAGGAGCCAGCAGCCATCTGGCACAGGGTGCTGGGGTCCAAAACCCCCACAGTGACATTTGCTATCCGAAAGGGGAAGCGTGGCAAGGAGGGGAAGGGAGTGGGAGGAAGCCTAGACAGGTCCGGGGGCGGCGGCGGTTACAGGTGGCAGGAAGATGGTTTTGGGAGAAAGTAAAAGTGAGCAAAGAAAGAAAAGGGCAAAATTCACTGCAGATGATGGGAGCTGTGGGCAGCTGTGGGCAAGCACATCCCCCAGCACAGCCCAGGAACCTCACCATGATGTTTCCATCATTCTTTGGGATCCAGGGGCAGCAGTGGGAGTGGGGAGAAGAATGATAGTCCTGCTCCTCAGCCTGGTTGCCTTTGTCCCACAGCCCCTCAGGCCAGGGCCCGTGGGCACTCCCCAGGGATTGTCCCCTTGGCTGGATCCCACAGCTGGTCCCCACAGAGTGTTCCCATGCCTGGCTCCAGTGTTCAGTCTCATGCCCATGATTCATCCCCACACCTGGTCCTGTGGGCACTGCCCCATGGCTGCTCCCCACACTTGGCCCTCCTGCCTGGTCCCTCTGCTCTGGTCCCCGTGAGTGTTCCCTGCCCAGTCTTCATACCAGGTTCCCAAGCCTGTTCAGGGGGGCTGGTCTCTGTGGCTGGTCCCTACACCTGGGCCCACAACCAGACCCCAGAGCAGATCCCCAGACCATGTCTGCACCCTGGGTCCTCACAGTGGGACCCCATGCCTAGTCCCCATCCCTGTCCCCACACCTGTCCCCATCTCTGCTTCCCACATGGGCAGGGCTCTGTAGGCAGCATCACTGGGAGCCACAGGGCCACCCACACTGTCACAGGGCCACCCCCAGACATGCCATCCCTATCCGGGGGGACAACACCCGTCACTGCAGCATCCCCATCCCACCGAGGCTTGGGGCATCTGCCCTGGACCCCATCCCTGGGGCAGAGCCTCTGCAGCCCAAGGAAATCCTGCCCCCTCCCCCTCCATCCTTTCTTCTCCGCTCCCCCTGTTTCTAATTCTTTCTCCTCGCCCGTAATGAGGGGATTACACGGCAAACTCCAGCAGGACGCCTTTGTGGGGAGACAATCCGAGTGGGGAAGGCAGTTCGGGGCTTTGTCCGCCCCTGCCCCCCCGGACCCGTGCTGGGGGGACATTTAGAGCAATTACTTGTCCAGAAAGTAACTGTCAATCATTCTTAAAGGGGAAGGCCTCCAATTAATAACCTCGTCTTAATCCTTTGGACTCATTTCCAATCTGCGGTGCCTTGGTGACATCTGCAACACTAAATAAAGATTCTCCCGAGCCTTAGCACGGCGGTTCTGTGACAAATAAGAAGACTAGAGGCAACTTTGGCTGCCAAAGCTGCGAGATTGGTGAGGTTGAGCCGCTTGTTTGGTTCCCGGGAGGGACCAGCAAAGTTAAATACTCCTGGAAAAGCCGAGTTGGGCCCAGCAGGTAACGCCGTTTTTTTCCAATTCGGGACAAAGCGCTGAGGGAAGATGCTGAGAAAGGGAGTGGGTGTCCCCAGGGTGTCCCCAGGGTGTCCTCAGGGTGTCCCCAGGGTGTGCCCAGGGTTGGTGTTGGGGACGGGGCTGGCACCATTCCCTGGGGACTCAGGAGCGGGTGTGGGCACCTGCCAGTTTCACTCGCCCCGAATCACACAGAGCCAGGGGCAGGAGTCACCCATGCTCCTACCACCTGTCCCAGGCGGCTTGAGCCCAGGGAGCAAAATTCTGGCACCCAGATGGGCTTCCAAAGGCAAAGAATGGGGTCCCAGTGGAAGCTGGGGCTGTCCCTGGACTGTCTCTTCCACATCCCCTGCTGCCAGAGGAGGCCTCTTGTCCTCACGGATGTTCTGATGTTTTGCAGTTCTCAGGAAGTAAGGTTTTTTACCCACTTTTACCAGGGCTCAATGTTGTTTCTGCTGCTTTATTGGGCATCTTTACCAGCAGCCATATCCTCCCCCCAGCTAGCAGCCCCCACAGGGAAACTGTGAGCTGGGGAATCGAGGAGATGGGGGTAAGAACTCTCCTGAGATATTGGATCCTTATGGTTCCCAGCACAGGTTTGCAGCTTAAAAACTTAAACCCAAAAAGTGCTGCTAGCATGACAGTGGCTGCAGGAAGATGTCCTTTGGGAGCCGGATTTTAGCAATGCCCCCACCCCGAGCTCAGTGTGGCCTGTTTCCAGGCAGGATTCCCAAAACACCGGTGGCAAAGGCTTGGGAGTCCTGAGGCCAGTCCCTGGAGGATGAGGAATATGGGATGTTTGGTTGGTGCTGATGTCCCCCCAGCCTGATCTGTAATGCTTCCCCACTTCCCCACTCAGGGACATCTTTGCCCCCCCAGCCAGGCCGAGGCAGATGGGGGTGGGGGTCCCACCCTTGTCCCCATCCCACAGGGTCTGGTGCTGCCGCCCTGCTGCTGGGTCACTGCTGCTCTGGGATTTTGCTGTTCTTGGCTCATCTGTGCTCCCAGGTTGGGGTTTGCTGCTCTCTGGAGAGTTTTTTCCTCATTTGCTTTCTGATGGGGTCAGAGGGTGAACCATGGGGCTCCATCTCTGCACCTTACCCCTGTCCCCCCACCATTGCCCCACTTCTTCTCCCGCTTGCCCCATCTTATCTCCAGCCCCTCCAGCCTCTCTCACTCCAATGCCCATCTCACCCATTCCTATTGCCCCAGCTCGTTCCAGCTCCCCCCCAGCTCTGGCTCCCCCCCATTGCTCTATGAGGTCATGGGACATGGTTGGGCAGGGCTGATGGGGGTCCTGATGGAGTGCTGGATCCCTTGGGGGCTCTGTACCCCAGGAGGTTGCTCTAGGCGCTCAGCCCCCCTCTCTCCTCTCCTTGCAGGTGCAGAGCTGCGCAAATGAGAAGCAGGTAAGTGAGATCAGGATGGCAGTGGGGGGCCCCATCCCCTCCCCATGTCCCCAACCCCAGAACACACTGTGATACTCACACAGTGACTACAGGACCCCTGCTCCCCTCAGCACCCCCCCTTCCC